AGCCTGGAGAAGAGGAGGCTCAGGGAGACCTTATTACTCCCCACAACTCCCTGAAAGGGGGTGCAGAAAGAGGGGGTTGGGCTCTTCTCCCCAGTGACAAGTGATGGGCCAAGAGGAAACATCCTCAAGTTGGGCCAGGGGAGGTTTAGATGGGATATTTGGGAAAATGTCTTCCTGGAAAGGGCTGTCAGGATTGGAAGGGGCTGCCCAGGGAGGGGGGAGTCACCATCCCAGGAGGGGGTTTCAGAGCCGTGTGGACGAGGTGCTCAGGGACATGGGTTAGGGGTGGCCTTGGCAGTGCTGGATTAACGGTTGGACTCATCCTCAAGTTGGGCCAGGGGAGGTTTAGATGGGATATTTGGGAAAATGTCTTCCTGGAAAGGGCTGTCAGGATTGGAAGGGGCTGCCCAGGGAGGGGGGAGTCACCATCCCAGGAGGGGGTTTCAGAGCCGTGTGGACGAGGTGCTCAGGGACATGGGTTAGGGGTGGCCTTGGCAGTGCTGGATTAACGGTTGGACTCAATGATCTTAAAGGTCTTTTCCAACCTAAAGATTCCATGGAACGCTTGCTGGTGTTCCCGCGTGCCTTACGCAGTATTCGGAATCCTGGGCTCTCTGCGTATGACGTGGAAAGTGAGAGCAGCTCCTCCCAAATGTGGGCTGGGGGGCAAGCGCTGTTTTGTGCGGCGCTTTGTACCTGAAGAGTGCGTGGTTTAGGGTGCCGCAGGAAGAGGCTGAGAAGTCGGCAGCCGCGGGTTGGCAGCAGCCCGTAGGTACGTACGCACTCGGTGTGACCTACACGCGGGTCGGCTGGCCACGAAAATACAAACTGGTCACCGAGTTTACGGAGGGGGAGGCTCAGGCGTCGTGGGGCACAATGCTGCTGTTGCTCCTTGCTGAAAGACCCCCGGTTTTTGGTGGTTTAAGAGGGCTGGTGGGCGAGCAGCGCGGCTGAGTGGGTTTTGAGCAGCTCTTGGCACCCTGCTGACTGTTCTGCGCTCATTCCGCCCCCGCTTCTGCCCACAGAAGTGGTAGAGAAGGTGAACAGGATGATCGCGACGGGGCAGTACGGAAGGCTCTTCGCTGTGGTCCACTTTGCCAGCAAGCAGTGGAAAATAACCAGCGAAGACTTGATTATGATGGACAACGTCCTGGAGGCTGAATGCGGAGACCGAATCCGGATGGAAAAGGTGACGTGCCGTGCTTCCGCGGTGCCTGTGATGCCCGGCTGCGTGCGGGGCCAGAGCACATTGCCTGCAAACGTCCCCATAACCAGCTTTTAAAAACAAGAGCCCCCGCCAGATCTCCCGTTCTTACTCCAGCTCTTGCCTTCGCTGTGCTCCAGTCGCAGGGGCTGTTAGCGGTATTGCTGTGATTCCTCTTGAACGGGGCTGGAGTGAGTCCTGCCAGACCCCTAGGAGACAGATTTCTATTGTATAACTTCATCCAAAAAAAGAACATGGCAGTTGTTTCTAGAGATGGCAGCTGAGGCCTCTGTTTACCTCCAGACTCCAGCACCCAAAATACTTGCAGTGCTCCCAGAGGGGCTGTCGCTGCTCCACGCTTTGCGAGATCCTTATCCCGCTGTGTTGGGTGGAGGGAGGGGGACGGGGCCTGCAGGGGAGAGCTGCCAAGACACTCTTCGGTGTCTTTGTCCTCAGCCTGGGCTAACGAGCAGGGACTTGTAGTGGCTCATTAATCCAAATTGTATGTGAAAGATTAAGAAGCGGGAGTCTGTTGGCTCGACGCTGGTTGCTGGAGCCAAGCAAGCAGCTATGGAGAGCCGGGCAGTTTTTCTGCTCATCCGTTGCTTTGAAGTCCAGTTTTGAGGCAGCTGTTGAGGCCTTCAGCCGTCCCGTGTCCTTGGACACGACGCAGAGGGGTGATGTGCATGGAGTGGCCAGCTAGGAATGCAGAGGTTAAGGTGGATTGGAAAACTTGCCTAACCACCATAACCCTTTTGGGGTTTTACTGGCCAGCATCTGTCTAAAACAGAGGTCAGAACGTCTCGTGACCGTTTGTCGGCCGGTGTTAGCTGCTGCCGTACAGTTAGTGTGGGGAGAGGGCTGCAAGAAAGGCTGCATCCTCTCGCGACAGCCGCTCTTGCCGCAGGACACCTCACGGCGCCTTTCGCCAGGCAGGTGGCTGAAATGCCCTGGAACAAAGGCTAGTCCCCGGGGTGGTGAACCCCCCCACACACTCGTTTCTTTATTGCCCACCTCGAGGCCTCACGGAGCAGAATGCGGGAGGTGTTTCTCTGCTGGGATATGTAGCAACTGCCATGAAAATCCAGTGGTTGTAGGAGCTGCCGGTCATTCCGATCCTGCACAAGGCATGTTCTTCTTCTTCCCTGCATTGCTTTTCCTGTCTTTTACAGCTGATGGTGAGCTGGAACACAGAGGTTCAGTGTGTTCTGATCAACGGGAAAGATTCTTCCTGCAGAGGGTGGGAGCACTGGGACAGGTTCCCAGAGAAGCTGTGGATGCCCCATCCCTGGGAGTGTCCAAGGCCAGGCTGGATGAGGCTGGGAGCACCCTGGGCTATGGAAGGTGTCCCTGCCCGTGGCAGGGGGTGGGACTGGAGTGGCCTTGAGGTCCCTCCAACCCAAACCATCCTGTGAGTCCATGATCCTGTGATGAAGTGTGTTTTAGTAGGATAAGCTCTCCCAGAAGGCTGTGTGGTTAATCAGTCTGGTTCTGGTTAGCTGCCTTTCCCCACCATCCCTCACCAGTAGCAGCATCAGGTCTGAAGTGTGTAAAGGTTTATTGTTAAGCTGGTTTGACTCCTTTGTGGTGACTGTAGCGTTTGGAAGACACTGCTGGTGTCCCTGCTGGGACATTGGCCGGTGAGATACGCCTGATTTCTTTTCCATAGGTGTTGCTGGTTGGTGCTGACGACTTCACGCTCATTGGAAGGCCGCTCCTGGGGTAAGATGTCTCACACAAGGATGATCTTCAAGACAATTCTGGTATTTAATGGTAGCTTCAGGGCTCTAACAGTCCCTGAAACTGAAGATAAACTTTGATTTATCAGCACTGGCTTCTTCCCAGCCCTCTGGCTTTTGAAAGTCATCAAAAGCTCCTCAGCCACTGCTGACCCGAACCATTGCCACAGGGCCAGGGTAGAGCAGTGCTGGGTCTGAGGTAGCGTGCGGGCAGCCTGCAAGGAACCTGGGGGGGACTGTTTCCAAGGGCAGGGAGTGACAGGACAAGGGGTGACGGGTTTAAACGGAAAGAGGGAGATGGAGATGGGCCATCAGGAAGGAATTCTTCCTGCAGAGGGTGGGAGCACTGAGACAGGTTGCCCAGAGAAGCTGTGGATGGCCCATCCCTGGGAGTGTCCAAGGCCAGGCTGGATGAGGCTTGGAGCACCCTGGGCTATGGAAGGTGTCCCTGCCCATGGCAGGGGGTGGGGCGGGGGGGGCTTTGAGGTCCCTCCCCCCCAAAACAGTCTGTGATAACGGGGCTTCTGTCACACTGGTGACAGCTGCCTTGCATTCCCTGCCGGAGCCGGGATTTTGAGGGCTGCCAGTCCTTTCAACAGCACTGCGAATAGGTGTGGAGTCGCAGCTCGCCGGGAGTCTGAATCGTTGACAGGTACTGCACTTGTGGAAGATCTTAGGAAGGGGGAATCTCGTTGTTAGGACTGGAAATGTTATCTTGCAGAAATTCCCGGGGGAGCCCAAGTTGGGCAGACAGGGACGTGCCACGCCAGCGTTCGGTGCACGCCCTTCACCGGGCTCCCCTGGCTGGTGACCCTGGGGTGGCTCTTTGCAACCCTCTGTTGTGCGCTGGGCTCGGATGTGGCCGGAGACCCAGAAGCGCTGGGACGGGAAGAAAACCGGCTGTTCGGTTCCTGCAGGCACTCGAAGTGCAGGGAGACCAGACTGCCGTGTGCCAGCGTTCGCCTGACCCCCCAGGAGATCCGGGGAGGAGGAGGAGACTGACCAGGTGGAACGAAGAGCAGGCGGGGG